TCGGAATTAGAATCATCTTTAAGAGGCTGAAAGGGGGGGTTCTCCTGACAGGGCAAAGACATTATGCAGCCCACTCTAAGTAATAGGTAGGTCAAATGTTAGCTAGTCTTATAACTAGTATAATTAATATTATCCTATTTCTTGATTCAACTGCACTATAAAGTCTCACAGTAGAAAGAGGTGCTAAAAAAAGAAGAGAGAGAGCAGAATTTGGTGAACAAGAAAGTAGGGGACAAGGTGGTGGAATATGTGTGGTATAATAGAAGTTTTGCTAACACTTACATTCTGGTCATGGAAAAATCAAAGGGTGAGATGATTCTCAGTCGAAAGGGCCTTCAAAAGCTAGCAATCACATGCAGATTTCGTCACTCGAGGGCTAGGCTAGATGAGAAAAATAGTATATTAGTCGCCTAGATTCTGCAAGAAACAACTACTAGGTGTGTAGAGATTTGATAGGTTATTCATCGCATATTAGGAGGCAAAGGAAGGGCGAGGGGAGGTGAAGGAAGTTAAGACAAGAAGCTCTTATTACATTAGTTTATTATTAGCAAAGTCTGCACCTGAGTCACACAGCGCAGCCGTTCCCTCTACATTATGATATAGTGGTTTCCCAGTCTAACTGCTGGAAACAAGGCTACAGGAGGAAAAGAAATATATAGTGGGAATACATTAGGGAAGGTGACAGCTCGGGCTATGGTGAGCTGTTTTTGAGATAGGAGCTACTTCCACAGATGTAGCAGCTCTATAGGCATCATCTTTAACCTGGAACCTACGGAAGTGTTTAAAATCATGCATGAAGTTATTTAAAGGAGAAAGAAATTATACTAAAGGAAGCTTGATGATATGCCCATGTTCACTGTAGATTTATATTAAAGGTACTTGGAGAAGGTTGCTGAATTCAAGAGAGGATACGAGTATAGGGAAAATGAGCCAAGACTGAATTTTATACCAATAATACTTCCCTATATAAGAAATTCTGCCAGTGAGAAGATGCTCTACTTAAGTAGATCCTTTAGTGTGAAATTTTGCAGAAGCATATGACAAGTGAAAGCAGTGTGTTAATACACTTAGAAAATAAGCAGTAGAGCAGATTAATAATTATTTAAACGCTAACCAAATGAAATTCTAACTATTGTATGTGTGTTGCAGATTGAGAAATGTATAAGTACCGTTTCCACACAATCATTGTTGTTAACCTAGATACTAGTGGTAATAAATTATAAGTATCTATTAATGAAGACATGAATAATAAATTACTATCAATGCAGGCCTAGCATAGAGACATGATTGCAGAACAGTAAATTGTGAGAAGTATCAACATATCAAACCTATAGAGGAGGGTAGACTTCCCAGATTTGGTAGAAAGTTCAAGGCTATCGATGGCACCCATCAATGGGTAGCCATTGCTGTACCATTGGCAATCCTGGATGTCTATCATGGCCTTAAGAAACCCATTTATTTTTAGACATCCCATATGAGACAGGTGTCAAGTGTCATGCAGAACAGGGGGAGTTTCCACTATAGCTAACAAGCCAGCAGCTGCCTGACACAAATGAACACAAGACCAACCAGACTGGAGCGGAGTCGGAGTGGACAAGGTCTGCGAGCGGAGTGAAGTCCAGTTGAAGGACAAGAGAAGAGAGAGGAGTTATCGGAGTCGTTCCGCACAGAGGAGGAGTGTAAGTAACATTTATAATTAAGCTAAAGTACTGTAGCTACTTTAGCTGTTTAAATACTAATCGTAAGTAGAAAGGGAAGACCATAAGTAAGTATAAGGTACAGAGTGCATATAGAAAGTAACAAGCATAAGGATATACAGAGATGTAAGTAACAAGGCGAAAGACATACAGAGTAAGGTCGCTGGAGCAAGCGGATCGGGCTGGAGGCCGGCAGACCGTGACCGGTCCGCAGGCCACGGTACATGACGCATGCACGGATATGACAACAGATTAGGTTCAGAACTAGTATACATGAATAGTAGGTTCTCTAGACTGAGTACTGGATATTGAGGTGGGTGTATAAGGATATTTGGATGTCCACTGTACCATAATCAGTTGTGGTTCTGGATGCCACTGAAGGTACCTGCAGAGAGGGTAGGTACCCATAGAGCAAAAGAGAGTGTTTTTGATATTTCAACCAATCAGAAATTAATTTCAAGTATGATTTAAGATTTGAATGTAGGATTATATAGATTCTCAAATAAACCTGTCAAGCACTTGAATCAACCTCATAGCTACTTCCTGGTCCTACTGGAATCATGTGTTTACCTTCAGTAATTATGGAGATAAAGGCTCATCAGTTATAGATCAGCTAGTGATTGGCTAGTGCTGGCATAACCATTCAGCTGTTGCTATGAAATGGTAAAAAATTCCTTTTTTGAAATTTTGTCACACTATGTGAGGTGTGACCATGATGTGACCATGTGTAATAGTGTTACACAGGTGCTGTCTCCAGAGTGTGCAATTATCCATTATTGATAACATATGAAGTGTTTGTCTGAATGGTCGGGGGAGCAGAATTGCCTTTTTTGGAAGGTACTGATGATCTTCAGCATCAGCCATGAGTGGACTTGTTCCTTCCAGGTCTTTCTGAACTTTATAGCAACTTTATTGCAGTATTTATCACAGCATATGGAGTTTGAGCAGATTCTTTCTTATTAGGATGGGAGGTGCACTGTACCTCTATCACACCCTGTTGATTCCTACCACATACATGTCCTTTTTGATCCGATCATCGCCTTGATGACATCCCCGCTTGTCACTGTGCCTTACTTTGGTGCCATACTGAAACAGCCACCTACAGTCTAGTTTAGTCTGACACCTGTTGCACTAGTATGTGACGTCACAGTTGCAGACAGTATATAAGTAGCCTGCTAGATCTCCTGTGCCCTAGTCCTTGTCAGACTGCGGGTCGGGCCGTGTAAGGTCCTCTCCTAAGAACACGCGCCCGGAACAGAACAGACGGATAGTCGGGCCCGCGAGTACGGCGAGCGGGGGTAGATCTAAACCGAAAGGGCCCGTGAACTCGGTCCCTTGTCGTCTGCAGTGGTCAAAGGTTTGAATCGGGTCGTGTTGGGCCCAATAAGTCGCTGGCACCTCCTTGCACGGAGTAAGGTAGTTCTTCAGACGATCTAAGCGATAGAGTACATGGTACACTATCACACCTTATCTACGGAGGCCTGCAAAGGGGGTAATCAGACACCCTGGCCCCTCCCTCCTCCTCCTCCTCCTCTCTCCTGTTCCTGGCCGCAGAGGGCACGGTCAGACATCCCTTGCGGGCCAGGCGCTACTCCTAACCTCCTAGCACTCCTCCCCAACCCCTGGTGTCGAGTTGGGCTCGGCAACAGCTCGACGCGTCGTTCTCGGTCACGTGCTTCTCACATGTGCGTTCCTCCTACTGGGGCGCATGTTCCCCATCGTCACGTGCCGCGTGTTACGGGCCGGGCCCGCAGTGGCCCGACACCAGCGCCCGGAGAGGACAGGCCGGGTCTTATCCGTGACAGTTTCAGATGCTTGTTTCGTCTCATCCCACTTCAATCTACCCCCTAATGCATCCTGAGACGTCTCAGTCTCTCGCGTTTTGCTTCAGCCAGTGTTTTGAGCTCGTATGCGTCCCATATCACGTTTCGGGGCCTCCGGCCGGTCGCGGCCCGGTCCGACTGTTCCAGAGTGGAGTTGGGGGTCAAAAGCACCCTTACCCTTAAGCGCCGCTTCCAGCTCTTTTCCCCTCACCTATGCATCCGCGCTCGACAATCCCGCGCTCGACAGGACCGGAATCGAAGTTGTCTTCGAGGGACTCAAGGGGGGGGTTCCCCTGACTGGGGCAAAGACATCATGCAGCCCACTCCAAGTAACGGGTAGGCCAAATGTTAGCTAGTCTTATAACTAGTATAATCATTGTTATCCCATTTCTTAATTAAACTGCACCATGGAGTCTCACAGTGCAAAGAGGTGCTAAAAGAAGGCGGAATTTGGTGGACAAGAAAGTAGGGGACAAGGGGGTGGAATATGTGTGGTACAATAAGGTATTCGCCATCCATCGTGTGTCAACGCCACCTGATCAGCGTGACTTTTACTGAATACAGCACTTTGGGGCCTATCTTCTTAATTTTTTTTTATGGATAATGCTGTGGTGGAAGTAGTAGCCTGAAGTCCACTATATACTTGTATCCTCCAAATTGTAGCCCAATCAAAGCACATTTCGTGAGAGATATCACGCATCCACCTTTTCCCGGGCCTCCATCTGTTGCTGTCGTCTCGTGCTGCACGCATGCCTGCGCCGTCGAAGCTGAAGAAGGAGAAGGCGCCTGTTATAATCTAGAACCGCCTTGACGGCGGGGCACCGCGCAGCCGCCGGAACTGTCAGGCGGGTGTTGGATGATATTTCGCGCAGTCCCCAGAAACTTGTAACGGCCTTTTCGCCGTGTAAGCGGTGCAAATGCACAGAAGGGAAGGAAAACACGGTATGTAACATGTTTGAATGCCCTAATTAATCGCACCAGCGCCCAGAAGACACGATTAGGTCTGTTGATGCTATCCCTGCCCCTGACATGGCTCCAGACGACCCATTCCTCTCGGCAATGTCCCAATTTGAGCTCGAGGGCGACTATCCGGCGCCAACAGAAGCTCCAGCATCGACAGAAGGCTGGCCCGTGTTTATAATTATCTGGAAGCCCGGCGTGCGGGCGTCCGAGCCGAGCCGAGGGCTCCTATCAATGCAGTATATAGTATCATCGTTCTGCCAACGGTTCACGCGACGCGACAGCCGCCACCGTCCACTTGACTTCAGCCTCCATGTGCACGTTATGCCAGTAACCATGCCACATTTTCGCTCACCTCGAGTCTATCTTCTGAACGCAGGACGGACAGACTGCACGCCCCGGTCGCCGTCGCCGCGGCCAGCCAGCCGCCTGCGTGCTTCGCGAAGACGTCGCCATGCGGCGCGGCAATCAGCCATCACGCCATCACGTAGACGTCGCGCCAAAAAAAAGGAGCACCGCCATGCCCCATCCGGCGGTGCTCACCTCCTTTCCCTCCTCTCCTTCCTTCCTTCCCCTCATCCTGTCCGCGGCGATGCGGATGCGGCTGCTCTCCCTCCTTGGCGCGGGCGCGGGCGCGCATACGCCCTTCGACGCGGCGCACGCGTACGTGACGTCCCCGCTCGTGCGCCCGGGCGTGCTCGCGGGCGTAAGGGGTGTGCTGGCGCTGTATGCGCTGGTGGCGATATGTGTGGCGCTGGGGGTGGATGTAGGCGATGGGAGCGGGAAGAGGTGCGTTGTTGTTTCCGTTCCTTTCTCCCTCCCTGGCTATGCGTGTGCGCTGGCCACCCTGTCTCTGACTCTCTGTCTCACACTTCGTTGACGCCGCGCCAGCTTCCTGAGCTTCTTCACGAACCTGTCGTACACGGGCGTCGTCGCGTACTACGTCGCCGCCGCCGTGCAGACCGCCGCGTACGCGCGCTGGGGGACGTACCCGCTGCGCCGCTGGCCCCGCGCGCTGCAGGCCGCGCACGTCGTGCTCCAGTCCACCGTCGTCGTCTTCCGTGCGTGCCCCCCCTCTCCTTCTTCTGTGCGTGGCTGACGAGGGCACGGGCAGCGATCATCGTGACCGTCGTTTTTTGGGCGCTGCTCTCGTCCCCCGATACGTTTAAGACGACCTACTCCAGTGCGCCCCTCCCCTCCCCTCTTTTCTCCCCGCGCTCACTCGCCGCAGCATGGTCCAACATCTCCATCCACGGGCTCAACTCCCTCTGGGCGCTCCTCGAAATCCTATTCACCAACGCCCCGCCGGCCCCCTGGCTCGCGCTCCCCCTCCAGATCGCGCTCCTCGGCGGGTACCTCGGCGTCGCGTACGTCACGCACGCGACGCAGGGCTTCTACACGTACTCCTTCCTCGACCCGGCCGCGCAGGGCGCGCTGCTCGCCGCGTACATCGTCGGCATCGCGGGCGGGGACGTCGTCGTCTTTCTCGCGGGGAGGGGCGTGGTGGTGCTCAGACAGCGCTGGGCGGTGAGGACGGGGAGGGCGCCGAAGCCGGACGTGCCAGAACAGGAGGCGCTGGAGGAGTGGGAGGAGGTGCAGCGCCAGGACGCGGAGGGCGGCGAGAGAGAGAAGCGGAGGGGGGATGTGAACGATTCGGGCGTCGCGGTGGGCCGCGCGGAGGAGGAGGCTGTATAGAGGACGATGCTTGCTCTTTCTTTCGCTTTTTTTCCTTTTTACTTTGAATCTGTGCTGTCGTTCGTTTTTAGTCTATGTAATCGTATATAGTCTCGTGCTGTGAGACGATATGGAGATCGGATGAGACCGGACGGGCAAGTGTAACGCTAGAAGGACAGGGAAGCAGACAAGAGAGAAGAAGCGTGCAGGGGGTATTAACGTGTGCTTCTGGTGTGGTATTGGGGTCAGCGGGCTGTCTTCGCTGTGGTTCCATTTCAGGACTTCTAGACTGACAATCGCTCGACGCTCAGGGGCGGCCCCAGATCGTGCATCGGAAGAGAAGCGCGGCTGATTGCGCTCCGCTTCTCGATGGCCTCGCGGCCGTCCTCGACATGGAGAACATCTGCTGCAGACAGGACGGGGAGGGACGCCGCGAATGATCCGCCGGCGGGCGTCGCGGGGGGTGTATAGCCATACTGTAGCGGACGGCGCGTGGTCGCTTCTGTCCGCGCGTCTGTTCCTAGTGCGGGCCATTATCATATTCCGGTTTATCATCATGCCATATTTTTGATATTATTACAAGTATATTATGAGGCCAGAACAAATTTTATTTTATTCTATATTATATTATATTATGATATTATGATATTATTGTCCTGCCTCCAGCATGATATATCATTCTCGCAACGTATACGGCAGGCCTGCACTAACTCACGAGCTGTGTCAGATGTCTACATGTGATCAATCATCTTTTCAGCCCACAGAAAGCAACAACAGTGACTCAAGCACCAGAACCTATGCATGCCCGGGCCGCACCCGGAATACTGATTCTAATCTGCTTTACATTGGTCTGTTTGCACTTGTTTAGAATCATTGTTTACACTTGTTTACTGATTGAATTTTACACATCCAGGACCTAGCTAAAGCAAGGTAACCAGTCTATACTTCTATTCTCGTCCCGAGAGTGTTCATATCCTATGAATGGTCTTCGTAAGGCTAATTGCCACCTGCTAGAAATAATACTCTCAGTTGAAGAAGACCTTTATATAACATGCCGTGGCCTATCAACCACTAGAGCGAGCGAATGTCTAACCAACACACACACACACACTCAATACCGGAAACTACACAATGTGGTCACCATCTCCAAAAACGGCAATCCACTATAATATTTCACGTTATTATTATTATATTATGTTATGAATATATTATGTTATGAATATATTATGCTGCGGAGAACCATATTATAATATTATTATTGTGCATTTGGCATAATGATATCATAATAGACTGCTAACACCTTCAATAGTTTAAGGGAGGTATCCAGATGAGCTATTATAGAGCATCACACAATACTCATCACTGTCGAGAGTGAGCATAAATCAGGCAAGTACTCAGCAATCAGTTGATGCATCTGGATAATATATTATAATATATACATCATATTTCACATTATTATTATAATATTATATTATAGATATTTTATGCTGCTGAGGACCATATTATGATATTATTATTATGCATTTGGCATAATAATATCAGAATGGGCCAGACTTCGAAGTGTCGAATTGACCAATGCCGGTAATCATAACTGCAAGGGCCAAGGGACTCAGCTGAGATGGGGAGACAAGCAAGAAGAAGCGTGCAGTGGACGTTACACGCTAAGATATGCTTGTGGTGTGCTGTTGTCAGTTGGGGTCAGCGGTCCATTGTTCGATTTCGGCTGGGGACTTCTAGACCGACAAGCGCTCAGGGGCGGCCCCAAATCGTGCATTGCACGAAGAGAAGCACGGCTGATCGAGAATCCGAAGCGGCGCGCGATCTCATCGATGCGACGTCGATTACTTGCCTGGGCAAATGTTCCCCGAGGAATGATGAAACAGACACTGTCATTGATGCACGGAACGAGAAGAACAGGAACGATTGTACGGTATTTATTATTACACTCTAGAACGCGACCTTGCTGACGGTCTCGTAGAACGCCTTGCCCTGGATGGTCGCGATCTCGAGCTCGAGCGCGGTGGGCTGGCGGGAGCCGTCGGAGGCCGCGAAGGTGCCCGCGCCCCACGGCGAGCCGCCGTGGACCTCGGTGAGGCCGGTGAGCTGGCCGAACGCCTTCGCGTAGCCGAGGGGGACGTAGATGACGCCGTGGTGGGTGAGCGTGCTGATGGTGTTCTGGATCGTGACCTCCTGCCCGCCGCCGGGGCCCGCCGTGCTGACGAACGCGCCCGCGTACTTGCCCCACAGCTTGCCCGTGCTCCACAGCTGGCCCGTCGCGTCCCAGAACGCCTTCCACTGCGCGGGCAGGTTGCCGTACCGCGTCGGGATGCCCAGGATGAACGCGTCGAACGTCGCGAGCTCGTCGGGCGTGATGATGGGGTAGGCGGGTTTGGGCGCGGCGTACATCTTCGTGAGCACTTCTTGCGGGAGGGTTTCGGGGATCCTAAGGGGGGTCAGCGACGACGACGATGGGGGCGATAGACGCACTGGTAGATGGTGACGCTCCCGCCCGCCTGCTCGACGCCCGCCTTCACGGCCTCGGCCACTGCGCCCATCGGTCAGCATCGCGCATCGCCCCGACGAAAAGGACCGGGACGCACTCTTGGTGATGTGGCCGTACATCGAGTAGATCACGATCGCGACTTTCGGGGCCATCTTCTTCTTCTCTTCTTTCTGCTTGGTGGACGAGGACTTGGACGACGTGGACGACGACGACGCGGTGCGGAAGAGCTTGCTCGAACGCTTGAGGAAGCTGTTCAATGGCATGGGACAGCCGGCGCGCGGCCCCTCTTATATACCCTGCTGCACAGCCGCTGGGAAGCGGGCACCCGTTTTGGGCAGGGGCGTTTGATCGCTTCGAAATTCGAGCACCCGCGCACCATATCGGGGCGCGCGGCACCCAGGGCAGGGAGCGTTTGCCCATATCCGGGCCCCGATCGTCGCGCTGCAGCCTGCCAGTGCCCCCATCGCGCGCGCGCACGCCATCCGCTGAGCAAGCACCCGCGAGCAGAATTACGCGGGGCGTCGCTTAGCTGCAGCGCTGCGCGAGCACGCTGACTCATCGATAATCGATAAGAAACACTAGTGCGATACGGGTGTTATGTACATACGTCGCACGCGGACCCACGCGGACCCACGACGCTCTATTTCCATCGCCATCCTGTTTTGCGATTTCCGCGTCCGCGTCCCGGTCCGCGTCCGTGTCTAGACTCTGGAGCGCGCGAGCGGCTGAGTAAGACCCGCCCGCGTGACGCATGACCAATGGGCGGCTGACATCACTCACCAGTCATCACGATTACGCGTAGACCAGCGCCACATCGATGGCGATTCCCCTCCCGCTAAGCGCCAACATAGCGATAAATTGCATTTCAAGCCTACCAGGCACGCGCGCGGACCACCGCCAGCAGGGCACCGCCGCACGGAGGCGGGCATGCGCGCCCACCTGAATTTGCAACGCACCCCCGTCGCAAATTGGCAATCGCAAAAATAAATTGTAAATTAAGGGGCGCACGGTCGCCCGGCGCGCCGCTCCCGGATCGGCGTGGATCGACATGCGCGTGCGTGATGGGGTGCGGTATTACTATGCACAATGAAGAAGGGGGCGGCGTTGCGGGAAGCCAGCACGAAACGCCGGCGCGTCGGGAGGATCCCCGGTCGGCGCGGCGTGGGAGTCCTGCGCTGCGACGCCGCTGGGGCTGCGGGTCCGCGCGCGCCGGCCTCGACTGCAGCACCAGCGCGGCGTCGTGGCCGGCTATCAGCAGCTGCATATAGTGAGCCTACGCACACCAATGCCTCTAACATCTTTTATAAGCGCAGTTTCCACAAAAATTTAATTGTCTGAATTTGCATGAGGTCAGTTATCACAAAAAACTATTTGCTCATGGTTTGTGGTTTATGACTTCTGGTTGTGTTCATTTTTTGTGGTTTTGTGCTTGGGGCATACATGGTTGAGGTTTTGATTTCTGTGGTTGGGTTTCAGGCCTGTATTGCAACTTGTGCAAGTGTCTGGAAGCTAGAATTCACATTTCCTTTCTCCCCTTCCATCAGATTCAGATCAATTCATCAACACTCTACAACAAGTTAATACTCTCTGCAAAGCTCCAAAGTCCGGAAGGCTTTACTTACCAGGTGATTTGTCTAGAGATCTTGCAGTTCAAATGTCTGAGGCTCTCTGAAGCTTGGTAAGACCCGGATAATCTAGATATGTGGAAGGGATGCCTTAAACTGCGATAGCAAAATTGATGAGATTGATCGGCCATCAGAGTATCAGTTTCTAGAAAATTTAAATATAGGTAAGTGGTCCAATGTACAATACCTCAAGCTCAAATGTAACCATAGATCTCATAGCAAAACCACAAACCGTCAATTGAGAAGTAAAAACCATGTAGACCACACACCCACAGCCTGGTAAAAAACCACAACTATAAAGCTGTACCATCTTCAAAACCTCAATGAACAGAGCACAAACCCAAATAACTATGACCGTATTTATCGTTGTAAAGTGGTTCCATCACCAAACTTCTGGTTTTATAAATAACTAAATTTTTGTAAAAACTGCTCTTATAAATTTGTGCTCTGTCCATCACGGTTTTGCAGATGGTCCAGCTTTGTGGTGGGGAGTGGGTTTTTAACCAGCTTGTGGCATGTGGTTACATGGTTTCTGGCCTCTTGATTGATGGTATTTGTGGCTTTGTGTCAGGGGAACCTCCCTTTCGGCCCGGAGACGCGCCCGACTCCGGTCCGACTCCGGTTCCGACTCCGGTCTGGCCCTCCATCTCGCCCGCACAATCACCGATCTGTCAACGCCCTCCCGACGGTCGCCCTGGGACCTCGCCTGCGACGCCGCCCAAGCCTTCTGTGCCCGACAGCGGCAGCTACGGACAAGCAGTATATAGCCAGCTCCCTAGCAGGCGGACCCTTAGAGTTTCTTCTCTTTGGATCCTCCCCTGCTAGGTCAGCTTCATTTGTATTTGCTTACCAATGTTCACGCTTTGGATCCTCCCCTGCTAGGACCTTGATCTCAGGCCTCCGGGGTTGCCCTTACAGCAGAAGAAACTCTCTACGGGATCAACCGGACAAGATTGCCAGGTTCGGCGCTGACTCAGGCTCGGAGTACAAGTCCGTTCCGCCCTCGTCACCGCCCCTGCCACTTGTCCCCTCCTCCTCTACTCCTGTGGTCCCCGCACCCGTCATGCCGTCCGGAGTCACTCCTACCGCAGACGCCCGGCTGGACTCACTCGAGGCGAAAATCGACAGCCTAACTGAGGCCCTTGCTTTACTCACCAACCAGGCTTCCGCTGCCGCTGCCGCCGCTAATAATGCTGGCAGACCCCAAACACCATCGCCGGAGACGTCGATTCTGACTCCGACTCCGGTCCAGGGCGACTCCGAAGCCCTTTTTGGCGACATCAACCTCGCCTCAAAATTGGTCTTGTGACCAAACCCCCCGTTCACCTTCAACGGCGACCGGAAACTCGGCCGCGCGTTCCTCTCGCGGTCCGCACCTCGCCCGCCTTGCCCCTGAGGCCTTCGTGGTCAACGGAGAGGCGAGCGAGGAAAAGGCTGTCCGCTATGCCATGTCGTTTATGGCAGAAGGACCCGCTCAGCAATGGGCGGAGCGCCACGGAAGCAAAGCCCCGTTTCCGTTTCCGTCCTGGGGCTCGTTCGTTTCCGAGTTTCGACTCCGGTTCGTCAAGGAGAACGAGCAAGATCACGCTCTCTCCAAACTGGAGACTTCCGCCTATCACATGGGCACCAAGGATGTCTACCAGTACACCGACGACTCGAGGACCTGATGGACCTCGCCGGATTCGAAGACACGTTGGTCAAGGTGACCAAGTTCCGCCACGGACTTGATCCCCTGATCAACAACGGAATCACGTCCTCGAATGACCGCCGGACCTCCGGGACTACAGCGCCGCCGGCGGCCCGGAGTTCCTGAGCTCGCCGCTGGAGATATCGTGCCACGGGGCTCGACTACGCCGACGACGACCGCGCGCCCGTGTCAATACGAGGCCCTGGTCCGGGCCAAGCTGATCAAGTCAGCCGCCCCCCAAGACGCCTGGCGGTTTGATTCGGACTCCGTTTCCGGTCAACCGCGTCCCGGCCCCGGCTCCCTTCCGCCCGGTGGCTCCGGTCGTGCCACCCGCGGCCCGCGCCCCCCGCTCCGGCGCCTCCAGCTCCCGTCCCCATGGAGTTGGATCGCACTAGGGCTCGGGGTGCCCCTCGTCGCGCCTGCTTCAGGTGCGGCGACCCAAACCATCTCGCCCGAGATTGCCCCCTCCCCTGGATGTCCGCTCAATGGACATCCTCGACGAGGTGATCCAACAACTCGGTGACGAGATGTTAGCGGAGTTGATCGCCCGCTACTCGGACACAGCTGCGCTGCCGGAAACAGCCGCGGAGTCGATGGCCGGAGAGGATTTTGTCCCCCGCGACGAGTGACTGGTGTGCCCTCGTTCGCGTCCGTAAATCGTTTCGCTTGTTTGTATGACGAATCAATTCCTTTGCCCTACAACGAGCCTGAAACGAAAGACATACCCTCCCCCCCCCCGTTTCGACTCCGTCTCCGACTCCGCCCGCGACTCCGGTCATCGTCCTTCGCCGCCTCACTGCCTGGGAAAAGAAGTTGCCCAAGCAGTACACTGTCGCTGCTTCCCCTGAACGAACTCCCTCCACCTCCCGTTGGAGCTAGAGTCCACTACCAGCGCTTAAGCTCTCGCTCTCTGGCCTGGTTGACTGTGGTGCCACCTCCGACTTTATCGACACGAACTATGTCGCTCGGAATGGCATTCCGGTCCGCACCCTGGCGCAACCGATTCCGGTCTTTAACGTTGATGGCACTCCAAACGACGCCGGCTCCATCAACCAGATCGCGGACTTGGTCTTACGCTACAAAGGCCATTCCGAGCGTGTTCAACTCGCCGTCACTCATCTTGGTAAACAAGACCTTATTCTGGGGTACTCCTGGCTGCGGAAGCATAACCCGGAAATCAATTGGGAAACCAAGGAGGTCAAGATGACACGGTGCCCCCGCGGTTGCTCCACTTGCCGCGAGGAAGAACGCGTTGAACGAACTGAGCTACGGCGACTCCGGCTGCTCCAGAAGCGACTCCGCTCCGGCCCGTTCCCCTCGGTCTGCGCCATGGACCTCTCTGGGCCTGACGACGGAGACGATTCCGTCTCCGGTGACGACTCCGCCCTGCCTGATCTGATGCCGGACTCCGACGATGATGAAGACGATGGTCAGCTTGAAGATGGTGACCGCATCTTCTACACCTCGTTCCGCCCCTCGGAGGAGATACGCGCTGGCAGTACTGTCTCACGCCCCTCCGCCCTCCGAGATCCCGGACTGGGCTAAGGAGTTTCAGGACGTCTTCAACAAGGAGTCCTTCGACACGCTACCGGAGCGGAGAGCCTGGGACCACGCCATTGAACTCGTCCCCGACGCTAAGCCCACCAACTGCAAGGTGTACCCCATCTCGCCCCTCGAGCAACGCGAGCTCGACGCGTTCATCGAGGAAGGGCTTTCGACGGGCCGGATTCACCCCTCCAAGTCTCCGATGGCGTCTCCGGTCTTCTTCGTCAAGAAGAAGGACGGCGGACTCCGCTTCGTCCAGGACTACCGTGCTCTCAATGCGATGACTGTCAAAAACCGGTACCCCCTTCCGCTGATCAACGACCTCATCAACTGGCTCAAAGGCGCTCGTTACTTCACCAAACTCGACGTCCGTTGGGGCTTCAACAACGTCCGGATCAAGGAAGGTGACGAGTGGAAAGCGGCTTTC